AATCTATTAATTATTAATGTTTGAATGTCCTCCTTTATTCTTAGAGAGTAATCATTTTATCATTGACAAATTCAATAATAAATAATTAACAAAAATGTTCATTGTTATCATTAAAATAATATAATGATGGTTAGGTAATTAATAAACACTGCACTGATTCCATGATAAGCTATCACATCTATATATTATTAATTCTCAATATATGAATTAGTTTATAAGAATTTTTTTTATACCTTAGAAGAGTCTAAATTCTAAATCTATATTTGAGATTAAAAAAAAAATCTAAATCTATATGCATATTGAGGTGATTTGGAGGCTAGTGTGGATATTTCAAATTCTAAAGAATTATATTAATAAAGTTTCCCGGTCTATGAATATTTATCTACTTAAACAATGGATTCGACTCAAATCTAAATAATTATAGTAATGAACGTAGGGTTATTAAATTTTAATTGTCTACCCCACCCCAGAAAAAAAAAACCAACAAAAATTGTGTTCCTATATACTACTACACGTATACAAATAAGTAAACACAAATTTATCTATCTATTCTTAAAATAATTAGTATTCTTGATATGTCTTAAAAATTGTGTTCCGATGCTAATGGTCCATCTTAGGTGCTTATATCATCAATATCAGTGACAATAAGTGGGTGATTATGGAAGCTGATTATTAATTCAATCCATGTCATCATGTGGTTGGAGTATCTAGTGTTTGTTCTTTTGCAAATATCTCTTATTGATTCCCCTTTGCTGCTTAATATTAGATGTGGTGGTTTGACTTTTTTTTTTTGGGCAAATCAGTCATTTATTATATTTTAATATTTATAGATGTTCGATTCAGTGCTGCTGCCTATGCTAGGCTTATTAAAGATGGATTATTATGTCAGCAGCAAGTTGCTCTAGTAGCTGCCAATTGCACTTGTATGTGGTGTTCTAGACTCGAGTTTGGTGTTACGTGTGTTTAATTGTATAAAATTAGCTCAAAAAAAAAGATTGTTAAATTGGTAAAATCAATTTCAAATATTTCATTGAATGTAATTATTCAAACAGTTCATTTTTTTCAACCAAACCTTCATTATATTAATTAAAGGGAGGTTGCCTTCGGAAAGAAAAAGGGTGGTTGAAGGTTGATGCCATTGTGTGCTATTTCTTCTTGATTCTCTGCAATATAAGTCATTTGCAAAATATTTAATCTTTATTTATCAATTTTACTAATTTTACTATGATCATTAATGCTTAAATGTTATTGCCTCCTGTTCTTAATATGAGAACTCATTTAACTTTTATTTTAATATTAAATATAAGCTACCAATCTACTTTGTCTTTTATATTTATTTATGTTTAAGATAATTCTTGTAATAATGATAGTTTTAACCAGTACACTTGATTAGTAAGGACATTTTAGAGAAGACAATATTTATTTATTACAAATAACTAACATAACTAATTTTTTAATCTACTCAAATTAATCAACTAGCTTTTATATTAAGGACCAAAGATAGTAATCTTTATACTTTTCTCTTTCCTACAAAATCTCATTTAATGAGTCAAGTTAAAAAAAATAATTTAAAATAAATTTAATCAGTTAACTATCATTTTTGTTAATTTGGGTGAATTAGGTGAAAGAGACTTGTTACACTTGTATTATAATTATGAATTGGAAGGACTACTTGTATATCAAACCAACTCTAGCTAACAATCAAAGGAATATTACATACTACTCTTTTAGTTCTAAATATAAAACCTATTTTGTAGTGTAAATATAATTATACTATAAAATATGTCTTATATTTAGGAGTAGAGGAATACTTTCTACATGAGAATTTTGGTTTGTAGGGAATTTTATCCAATAGTAATCATCCAATTGGTCCAACCCTTAGTTCTCCTTATATTTCTAAACCTCACAATTTAAACAAAGATCCACATGATCATTGCAAGCTTCCAGCTCCAAAGAGAAAACATTAATCTCATAATCAGCTAATAAGTCACTCAGTCCAAATCTATTTTTTCTAGAATTTCTCAATTGGGTTTTTCTTCATACTAAAAGTAATCCTATTTAAGATGCAGTCGAGTATTAAATATGAACACTTTTTTTAACGGAAATAAAAAATTTTAATTTAATACATTATGAGAGACTATGTCCAATCAAATGCCATTAATAATTGGGTTGTTAAATATAAATCAAAGGATTTATCTTCCCACAATTGGGCTTAAGGCCCAATCTAGCCTTGCATCAAACTTTTATTTCCTTTTCATTTGTTTAGCACCCGGCCTATTGATACTTGGCCGAAGAACGACTGAACGAGCAAATAATCCAGGCTTATTTGCGCCTTCTTTTGATAATAACTAAGTTTTTTTTTTTTTAAAGTTTCAATATTTAGTGCTTGACGCTCTGGAATGTGACTATCTCTAATAAATGCACCACTACAATATGTATTTAGTTTTTTAATTTTACATAAGATTTCAATTTGATCACTTAACTTTTATATTTGTAATCCTTTAATCTTAAAATCGTTAGTTTTAAATGATTTTTTTGTGATAATCATGATTGTTTTAAAAATTAAACTTGATATGTTAGTATTTGAGAATATTTTATCAATATTAATGATCTCAATATTATTATTTTTTGTTAATGATTTTAGAATTAAAGGACTAAGCATATACTTTCTAAATATAAGGAACTAAATTGAAATCCTTGGTAAATTTAAGGACCAACTGTATATTTTATGCTAAAAAAGTAGTTCTATGCTAGCAAAAAGAAAACTAGAATTTTGCACCTGCTATCATAAAATACAATGGCAGGTGCCCTGAAATTTAGTGACAACTTCAGTAGCTAAAAATAATTATAATTTTTTAAAAACCTCAAATAACCTTTTTTCAATCAAGTCTCAAATAACAAAAATACTTGGTTGTTTAGAATTATGTAGTATTATTATTAACCTAATCTTCAATATAATCAAGATACTTACTCCGTCTCCAACCCAACCTAATCTTCAATATGACCAAAATATGTTATCCCTTCTATTCTCTTGGTTGTTTAGAATTATGTAGTATTATTATTAACCTGGGTTTGATATGTATCAATCAAGTCTCAAATAACAAAAATTCTTGAGTGTAACTAAAACTCAAAACATTATTATTTTAAAAAAAGTATTCTTCTGGTCCTAAATATAAGACTTTTATACACTATAAGGGTCTTATATTTAGAACCGGTATAAGAGTCTTATATTTAGGATCGGAGGAGTAATTTTTTTATAAAAAAAAAAAGCAGCATAAATTTCCAATCGGATCTAAGTTGACCCCTGTTGGTCCACCCATCAAATTTGGTTTGTTCTACTACCTAAATCAACATTTATTGAATAAATCAACATCACTAGGTGACCACACACGCAAAGAGAAAGGCAGCTGTAAATATTAATTACTCCGGATGCCTAAGTAACATTCATTGGAGCGACGTCGTTTTTCAGCAACTAATTCCCTCTGGGGGAATCTTTCGTTCCCGCTCCTATTCCTTCTATTTTCCACTCTTTCTAGTTTCTATCCCTTTTAATATGACCACCGCTGCGCTATTTCTTTAATTATCTAGTGTGGGCCCCTACATATTTGTGAAAGAAACATAAAATTAGTTCTTAAGGGTGAAGTACCGCTCAACACCCTAATTTATTTTGTAGGCACATTTGAAAAAGATCACCTTCAATAAAAAAGATACTTATATAACAATGGCTGGGAGAATGATATGCCTAGGCAGCCCCATGCCAACCTAATTTGGATCTTCTGAAGGTGCAGGGTGTATGAAAAATGATTTAGAAATGGTGCATTATTGATTAAGATTCAGGGCTAAAAAATAGTTGACAAATTTTAATACAAAAACATATAATTTACATGTTATTAATATAGAAGAAAGTGGTGTATAATTACTGAAAAGCAAGTGGGATATTTCAGGCCCAAAAAAAAAGCAAGTGGGATAAAAGAAAATACGAAATATATGAAATAGATCACAATCACATATTGTTGGCATTTATGGAGGCAAGAGGGAGAGGGAGAGGGAGAGAGGGAGGAGAAAAAAAAAAAAAAAAGGTAAAAAGGGGAATATGAGAGAAACAGAAGAAGACGGTGCGGGCCCCGCTCCCATGTTACGAGGGTTGAAAAAAGCGCACACAACAAACACGGCGCCTTCAACGCCTTCACATTATCTCCCTTTCTCTTCTGCCACAGTTTCTTCTCTTCCAATTTCTCGTCTTCTCACGTCAAATCATTTTCCCATTTTCCCCTTTTCCCGCCTCAGACTCCGCAATTCCGTTCTCCTCATCATTTCTCATCTCTCTTTTCCAATCCTTCTTGCCTTTAATCATATATTATCAATAACATTAAAAACAAATTTTTTTAAAAAAATTGTATGAGTCAGCTCAAAAAAAGATGTATGAGATCTATTTTTATTATTTAGATTCATAATACTCCCTGAGTATGTTTTACACATACTTATAACAGGCGGTTCGCCTTAAATATCTTTCTCAAAAATTTTGCATCGTGTGAAAGTCCCTCCAGTTCATAATATAAATTATTTTAATTGATTTATTAAAATTAAATAATGGTAATTAATTTATTAAATTCATCTGTATTATTCCTCCAATCATAAATATAAAATTTCTTTTATAATATAAATTACACTACAAAAATATTTTTATATTTAGGATCGGAGTGGTATTTTTTAACCAAATAATCCGATATCTAGCATAACGCATTGGATCTCAATTAGAGAAATTTTTTTTTTTCTCTCACCTACAATACTAAAACTTGATTAGTTTGCGTGGAGTAACTTACAACTTAATATAATTATCATTTATAAATTTATATTATTGTGTCTGTATTCCATTAATTCTATTATACTCCAATTAATTTAATTTATGATTTAGGATTATGATTAGGAATCAACGCAATCGACTCCCTCCTCATTTCTATAAATGCACACGCAATTCCTTCATTTTCCTTCACTCTTCCCTCGCACACTTCACCGTACGATCCCTAAATTTGGGTCTCTCCTATAATTTTTCCTTGGTTTCTCTTTCCCCTTGAGAAACCAATCCCCTCTCTTCACCTCACACCACTTGTAATGGCGGCCCCTACCTCCAGATCCGTCTTCATCCTCCTCTCATTGCTTCTTTTGATCACATTCTCTGAAGTGGCTCAGGTACGTAGTTCACTCAATTCACACATAGAATTCACTTTCCACTGCTCGCATTACTGGCATTATTATTCTCCGCCCATTGTTCTCATTCTCACTATCATTTCGCTTCTCTGTGATCCGTAAACAGGCTTACGGAGGCTCGAATCTTCGTCCTTCAGGTAACGTACAGCATTGTTCACGAATTCAGAGGATTAAGAGACCGAAATTCTGACGAATTTAGGGTTTCGCATTGTCAATTTCGTCTCGATCATAACAAAGCTTCTGTATAATGCAGATTGCAAGCCCAAGTGTACATACCGATGCTCTGCGACGTCGCACAAGAAGCCTTGCATGTTCTTCTGTCAGAAATGCTGCGCTAAATGCCTGTGTGTGCCTTCAGGTACGTACGGCAACAAGCAATCCTGCCCTTGCTACAACAACTGGAAGACCAAGGAAGGAGGACCCAAATGCCCTTGAAGAGATCGATGAAGCACTTTTCATATTACAATATATGATCTTACTGTCTACTACTAAGCAATGTTAAGCTTTGGAAGAATTATGATTAAGATTTACTGCAGCGATTTTAGTAGCTGAATTTAGTAATTGAAGGAAACATTCAGCTATGTTCTCTTCACAAAGCAGATACTATTCCAAATTGTAACTTAGGATCTGCGCATTTGTAGTTTTGCTGCTATATTTTTGGTTCTGCTGTTATCAGCTATGGAAGCCAGATTATATGATATTGCTTGATTATTCGTAAGATCTTTCTTCTTTACGTTTTTTTTTTTGGTACACACACTAGTGGCTTGTTATAATACGTTGAGGATAACGCAATGCCTCACGACTTTATTATTATTATTAATATTAATTTTTGTTCACATGCAAGTTACAACTATTATGAAACGTACAAGTGTGTGATAGAAGCCGCAACTAGTCCATCCTCAAACTTTATGACCCCAATTCCGGATTCGAACGTATTGTTCTTGTTTTTTGGGCCATGTTATTGCTCATTTCAAAGATAATGTTAGGGACGAAGAAAGGGACGGATAACTGGATAAGAGATGATTTTTTTTTTTTTGTGAACAGGGATTTTTTTCCCCTAAAATAAAGTTATCACTTTGTAATGAATGTTCTGGTTCAAATGTTATGAATTATAATTATTTTAAAATTTAAATTTAAAAATTACTATCAATAATTGTAAGTAAGTTTTCACAAAAGTTATTATTAAATTACCATTAAAAATTTTTTATCTGAGTTCTTAAAATTTTTTGAAACCTCAATAAATGATTTTCTTAAACACGGCTAAACATTTTAGTTACAGTTTTAATTTTTAAAAATAATTATTGTTCTGATTTTTTTATTTGAATATTTTGAGATATGGTTCATAGAATTATAAGATCTTATTAGTACTCTAGAAATAAGATCTTATAATTAGGATCGGAAATAGTATAATAAATTGAATATTCTTATTTTTCAACAACTATAAATAAAAATAAAAGTAAATTATTTGTAAATGACAAATATCAATCGTGAATCAATATTGCCTGCCGTACTTTAATAAGGGCTTGGTTTGTTTAAACAAATATGTCAGGTTTAACTGCTAAAGCTTAAGTTAGGAAAAAATAAAATTGCTAAAGCCTACGCTCAGACTTATTTAAGAAAATAGGTTGGGTTTAGTTATTTAAAACCTAATGTATAGATCATTTAGGCCTGTTTATTTTAATTTTATATTATATCGATATATATAAATAAAAATATATATATCTATATATAAATATATAATATTTAATAAAAAAATGCCAATACATTTATTATGAGTTTTTTTTTTTTCTTGCCATAACTCATACACTCATTATAAAAGACTTTAACTCATAATCTGATGTTTAGTATCACAGAGCGGTAAAACCCCAACAGGCCTATTGGGAGTCAATAATCACCTAATTTAACTCTGGTGGGGGCACGTTTAAGTTTAATAACAAAAGTAAGTTTTTGATAGCTTATAATAAAATATGTTTATGGGAATAAATTAGACGTAATTTAAGTTGACCTCTTATCATTCTGAATCACGAGCCGGCACTCTAATTTTCTGCTAATGGCTGATGGGAGAATCGCGGGTGAGCTCACGGAGTCACAGTCGCAGTCACAGTCAACAAATAGAAAGCCCCATGTGCCGTGATTGAAGATTATTCCCAATCCAATCCCATGGGTCCCCATATCGGATTCCGAATTTTGCCCATTTGTCGTCCCTCTACTATCTGCCTTTTGTCTTCTTCTCAACTACCCGCCAACAATAAAATAAAAAAAAAATCTTTTATTTCGTTGCAGATTTTTTTATTTAGTTTATTTTGAAAATTTTTAATTTCAGTGTTTTTAAATAAATTACTTTGAACTTGACACTAATCTCTATCGAGCCAGAAGTATTAAGTTCAGAGTCTTCCCATTCAATTTCAAAATTCAGTAAACTGTTTTATTAATGTAGTGTAATTTCAGACAATGAAAAAATGCTTCTTGTTGGCCCCAAAAATATAATGTTCATGTGTACCCCCGCATCTGATTTATATTAAGCTTATAAAAGTTTAAATGTATAGTTTGCATATAAAGTGTTGTTTCTATTTTTATTTTGCATAAGGATAACAAATCTTAAAGTCAAATAAATGATAGATAAAATAAATTTTTAATTATATTTGAGCATGACTGAGGTAATAAATTTTCAAATAAAATAAATTATCTCCGTCTTAATAAAAATAATCTGTAGTTATTTATACAATTCTATTTCACATATTAAGACACTATATACTTTGTAAACTTATCAAATTAGTATTGGCACAATATTTAGCTTCGGTTTGGTTCAAGGGAATGGAGGAAAGATTTTAGAGAGTTTACTCTTTTTTTCAAAAAAGATAAAAAACCAGAGCTAAGAATTTTTTATTGATTTTTTTATTTCTCTTCTACATATTTTTTCTTTTAAAATTTTTTGAATACTTTTTCTTAAAAAAATTTTATAATGATTTTGACTAGTTTTGTTAAATTAAAATTTGTAATTTTAAAATTTAACAGGTTTTTTTTTGAAAAAAATGACATAAAATTGACACTTAAACTTGGAAATGTCAAAATAGTCACTTGAATTTGCAAAATCCCAGTTTAAGCACAAGTGATCAATTTGACATTTATAAATTTGCTGAAATGACCATATTATTTTTTATTTTATTTATGCCCCCATTGCCTAGCTGGGAGCAAGAACTCTGGTGTTGGTGCTGATGGCGTAGAGCTCAGGTGGCTAGTAACAATTTTTTAAAATTTTTTTACAATTTCAGTAAAACGGTTAATAAGTCCTGTAACTCTATTAACAAGTTCAGTATAGCAATTAATAACAGATTTTTCAAAAAATTCAAAAAATAGTATTTTTACAACTTCAGTGATGCCGTTAACAAGTTCTGTGACTCTATTAATAAGTTCGGTATAGCATTTAACAACAAGTTTTTTGAAAAATTAAAAAGAAGGTGTTTTTACAACTTTAATAACTATTTTTTTTGAAAATTTTTACAACTTTAGTATAATAGTTAATAAGTTTTGTAACGCTATTAACAAGTTCAATATAACAGTTAACAACAAGTTTTTAAGGAAATTTAAAAAATAGCATTTTTACAACTTTAGTAATACTGTTAACAAATTCGGTAATTTTATTACCAAGTGCGGTATAGTATTTAACAACATCTTTTTTAGGAAATTCAAAAAGTGACATTTTTACAACTTCAATAACACAACTAATGAGTCATGTAACGATATTAACAACTCCCATAGAGGTTGATGTGTTTTATATTAGCTCTCTATGAAAGTTGTACAACAAAATTTTTTTCACTTATTAGGCAACCATTAAAGTCATGAGAGTTGTTAATATCATTACATAACTTGTTAACCACGTTGCTGAAGTTATAAAATACCTTTTTTTTTAAAAATTTTCAGAAAACCTATTATTAAATATTATACCAAAGTTGTTAATAGAGTTAAGGAACTTGTTAAAGGTACTACTGACGTTGTAAAAATGCTACCTTTTGAATTTTCTAGAAAAACCTGTTGCTGACTATTATACAAAACTTATTAATAGTGTTACAAAACTTGTTAACTATTTTACTGAAATTGTAAAAATTTTCAAAAAAATTGTTACTAGTCGCCGAAGCTTCTATGACTGATTGGTGGCGGCCACTGAAGCTCTGATGACCACGACTACCTGAGCTCTAGCAACCGCTGCCGGCATCAGAGCTTGGGCGACTGGCCGGCTGGCCAGTAGGACCATTTGTTTTTAAAAAACAATAAATAAAATAAAAGATAATATGATCATTTAATAAATTTATAAATGTCAAATTAGTTACTTGTGTCTAAGTTAGGATTTTGTAATTCAAGTAACCATTTTGACATTTTTAAGTTCAAGTACCATTTTCGTGTCATTTTTCCCTCTTTTTTTTTCCTTTTTCTTTCTGCATATTTTTTAAATTAAAATTTATTGCACCATTTATCCATTAAGAGAAGGAATGTCCATGCGTGCACGTACGGAGCTAAAAATCTTGTAGGCACTCGTTCTGGAATTTTTTTTTTTAAAATGTTTGAAACCTGTGAGAATTAATCGGGGAATCAATGACACGTGTAATTTAGCGAAAGAGCCAGCAGGCAATAATATCTGAATGCATAGTGACGTGGAGCTATAATCGAAACCGGTCTGGTTCCTCTCCAGTCTCCACTCACAGGACTCGTCACTCGCTTCCCAGTACTCTTCTTCATCTCCGACTCAGTGTTAATGGCCCCTCTCTTTATTCATTGTTGGCCCTTCAGCTAGCCATCCTCGCCTCGCATCTCTCTTCCTTTCACACTACATCTAGCTCCTATTACTTTCGCACCTTTCGTCTTCGTTTTTCCCTTCCCAGGAAATTGCATTTCATTCAAATGCCTTTCTAGGCATGGTAAGTTATTTATCGAGCTTGCATTCTTGAATAGGTATGATATGTAAGTATTACGTTAGTTTCAATGCTGAGTTACAAATTACAATCCTTTTTATCAAATAGAAATTTTGAGATCGCCATAATTTTTTGGTTCTGGAGCAACGGTGTGATCCTTGTGGGATAAATTTGGAGATTAATCTAATCTGTTCCAGTTGTGATGTTAAATTTTGGGAATGAGACGTGTTGAGTAAGTTTATATATATCTAATTATCAAACCGTAGTGTGACAGTGTGTGATTTTATTCAGTCACGCGCGTATCATCTAGTAGTGTTGTGCATTCCATGTAAAGTGGCCTAAGAAACGATAAAAGACCTCAAGAATGTTGTCTTCTGTCCAACTATGTGTTATACTAAATAAATTGTGAATGCAGAGCCGGGAAGCTTGCTATTGAAGGATACATGGCCTTCTTTCTTGTTTTTATCGAGTACTCCTCAAATTGTATTCTCATTATACAATCTGAATTTGTTTTTCTTTTCCTCAAAATGAACTCTTGTTGAATGGCGTTGGCTACAGTAATACTCATATCTTGTAAAATCCATTACTTCCCTGTATAATGCATGTCATTATTCTCTTCTTTTGCTATTTTGCCCACACAGAGTTGAGAACCCGAGATACTTAAAGTGCATTGAAGGCTAAGCCTATCTGTTCTTATCTTGATGTCAGATGGCACTTACTGCAAACAAGACTGCAATGGATTCTGTTCTGGCTCATCAAACAACTCTTTGTAGATATCATGAGAAGCAGAATCTTTTCTCACCAACGATAAACAGAATGCACCTTTCAAGAAATGGAATGGGACACGGGCTTCCAGCAGAAGGATCGACCTTATTTAATGAGGGGATTCAGTGTTTAAATGGAAAACCATTTAGATTTATCTCTAAGAAGCCTTTTCTCTTGTGCAAATCGTCAAGAGTAAATAATACTGAAGAGAAAGGATGTGATACAACTTATGATGATGTCGCAGATATTACTGGGTGAGAAGAATAAATGCAATTGATCTGCCAAATCAATTGTTGCACCCCTCTGCATTTTTCATCTTAATTGCATTCTGTCTTCGCTTATATTGTTTTTCAAACCAGTCCTGATCTCGTCTTTTGTATGATGGTGTTTAATCGATTGAATTTTCATAACTATAGGATTCAAACTAATATACCTAAGGTCCTGTCCATGTACGCAGTTCACATACTAAAGCCAGGAAAGGCAACCACATTCCTTCCGGTCAGGCCTTCGCTGGAGCTTGTAGATTTGCTCATGAAGATGCAAAGTTTTGGAATGAAAGGGCTCGTAGTGACATCTCCTTGCTCTCATGGTGTTTTCCCACTAACTTTTTGAGTCTATATTTTTATTTGGAATTCGCTTCCCACTGTCCTACTTGACTTAAATTAATTTTCTATCCACCTACACAACAAAAGTTCAGTTCTAATTGAAATACCTTAGAGTGTGAACTGGAAAAGAAGCCTTTCATTGAAGCATCCTTTGGTAACTACAACTAAAGAATTACTTGATAAACCATGTTGTAGCTTAGGAATTATGCAGTGGAATGTGTCTTTCCTGATCAAAATATTTGTTCTTTCCTTGTTGGCTACACATTTCATATTAGTTTGATTTGTTCTTATTTAAAATTTTAAAACCATTAAATGCATCTTATTTTTAAAATAGCAGTTAGAGATTCCATGTTTAGAAACCTGGATATAACTGAAATTATTTGTTTCCTCAGTGGCATGATGACTTTGGAAGCTCGTGCACGCCAAGATGTTGCTTTTCTTGGGACAGAATTTCTCAAGCTTGATGGTTGTAGCTTATTTACCTTCTTCTAATCATGCTATTTATTCTCATTAAGCTTCCTGTCATGTATTTCATCTCACAGGAATAACCCTTTTGTCTGCTGTAGTCATAGTTGAAATACACGCCCAATATTTGATTTCTACACATGGGGGTTCATGTGTGTGTGTTGTGTGTGTGGGAATATGTGTCTTGATAGGAATATTTTGGAGAGTAATATCCAAAAACTTTCTACTCTTGCCTCCATTATTTTGTTGAACAATCTCCAACCCACCACAATGATACCAAACGATAAAAATCTCTAAGAGAGCGATACCTCAAAAGCCAGATCATAATGATGGGGAGCTTAAGCTCTCTGTAAGCCCCACATCAGAATCCCATATTTCTGATGTGGGACTCAAGTTCCCAATTCCCATACCTCACATGTCTCTGATTTTGTTTTATATGTAGTTGCTTTTGGGTCACTGGGGAATATCAGAATTAAAATAAAAACTAGATAATTCTACTACTGGGATGATTTTTTTCTTAATATTTGCTTTCACCTTTTTCATTTTCTGGAGGTCAGGGGATTGAGACTTGAGAGCATCCTCTTCCTCCCCTTCACTCCACAACTATGGGGAATCCTTCTTTTTCTGGGGTAAATTATAGGGAATCATTTTATTAATGTAATGCCCTTCTGCTTC